GCACCGTACGTTTGCTGTTGGCTTTGGCGTTGGCGAGGGTGCTGGACGTAGCCAAGACACGTCTCTCTGACCGACCAGAGCCAGAACGTCCAAAACGCCCTCTACCTGCACCCGAGATGCCTGTTCCAGAAGTCGTGTTATGCTGTGGTGTAGACGGCGCAGAGCCATAGTAGCGCGCGGCGCCATCTCCCTCGCCATCGTCGGCTGGCCCTGCATCTTGAACGTGTGCTACGGCTGTGACAGCCAGGTCTGCCGAGAGACTCGGGTGGTGTGCCCCATTGCTACCCATGTTCGGAATCTTGCGCTTTTTCTTGTTGTTGGTGTTCTCAAACGATTCATAACCGTCCACTGAAGACGTTGGCGAACCTGGCTTGCGATGGGTACTCGCGATACCGGCTGCAGGCTTTCCAGAGGCATGTCTACTGTACTGGTAGCTTGGAGATACAGGCATGGGTCCACTGCGGTCGTCCTCTTCATCGTCACTCTCCACCTCAGAGTGAGTGTGTCCACAGTGACAGGCGTGGTGGTCATTGGTCCCAGTCCTGTGAGGACGCACTCGCTCATCCGCCATGTATGGGAAGTTGAAGAGCGGACCGGTGGGAGGTGGATTGTGCGGGTACACGATTGTCTCGGCCTGCTCAGGCGACAAGCGGGCGCGGAGAGAGCGGCTGGGTAGAGGGCGAATGGGCCGGTCGGGGTACATGGAAGACGAGGTATCGGGCGAGGAGCGCAGCGGCGATGAGCGGTTCCAATCGTAGCCTACGGAGCGAACAAGCAGTGTCAGATATGCGAACGAACAAAAGGTACAGCTGTTCAAAAGATACAAGCACAGGTGGTGTGGTGCGACAGGGAAATGGGCAGAGAGCTTGGTGGGTAGCCCATGACGCTTTACAGCCAGTACTTACCCGCAGTCGCCGCTGCCATGCTGGCGATCCTTGCTTGTATGCCCAATCACCGAGACGGTGTGGCGGGCGTCGTGTCGTGTCGTGCCTAAGAAAAAGTCCAGCTACGTCCAAAACTACCCTCGGTCGTGTCTGGCGTGCCCCGGTTAGCACTCGATCGGAGATGACTGTCCCAGCGTATGCGCAGATGATCGCAGCAGCGTCTCTTGACTGGGAATCGTGGCAAAACACAGTGTTGGCGTGTGGGGAGCTGTTGACGCACCTTTTTCGAGGGGTGGTTTGTGTGAGGGACAGTACTGGTGGCTAGTCAGCGGAGAGCCCCTCTATTATTTCCGATGGCATGGCGACTGACAGGATAGTGGTGCTAGCAGGGGGCGTGGGACAAGGCCAACGTCCAAGAGAGTGGAAGGACGCGGGATAAGCTCCTGGGTAGTCGGGACGAGTGACAGCGGCGATGGAGGCGTCAATGCCGAAGACGTGGTATTGGGGTTGGCGGGCGCCAAGCAAGGCCAGTTGAGGCACTTTGGGCGCTGTGGTGTGGCCTTGGAGCTCGCCAAAGCAGGGACAGTACTAGCGTCGACGATGGGCTGCTGGGCTAGCAGGCGCAAGATGGGCAATGTCGAGAGGGCAGAAACACGGAGCGGATTCGAGGATGGTGAAGACGACTAGGCCACGCACCGGCGGGCCATGTCGACGTCGGCTTGCATACCATCTCGCAACGACCGTGCTGGTGGCGCTAGAGCCCGCAGTGGATTGGTAATTGCTCCTGGGCCCATCCAGCAAATGACAGCCCCCCATGCTCCTCGCCCTCTACTACCACCTACTACATGTCCATGTACTAGTACATGTCGAACCCTTTACCGCCTCATCCTATGCCTGCTCCTCTCGACACGCTCAGCTGTCCAACCTGCCGCGAGGTCCGCGCCCACTCACTCAACGCACTCACCTTCATCTTGACACATGGCGACCGAATAGTCGCCCTGTCCGCTGTCGGAGCTGGGACCAGCCACCCAAGTTGCGGCCTGAAGGATGCCCACGGCCCCCGAGCTATGTGTCTTGGTCTATGTCCTGTGTGTACCTACTTGATCGAGCGCATCAAACCCTGACTCGCCTCTAAAAAGAGTCGATTCTCCAGTACAGACGTGGTTCCCTCGTCCGGGAACTGGCATGTCACTGCTGACTGTCATGTGCATGATGATCGGCTCTGCCTCGTCCGGCATCCCGCTTGTACCTGCATTGCTGGCGGCTGGGGACCCCACAGGTACATTCCAAAAGCATGGTTATCCCCCCTTACTCGTATATTGCACAAAGCTCTCCAGGCACACTTCTTAGCCACATACACGACTTACGGCAGAAACCTTTGTCCGTGGGTAGCCAGCACTTGGCGGCTCGGGCGGGCGTTATGCACGGGGATAAGCCTTGCGTATCGATTACCGGCCGCCCGCCTACGTCATAAACACAGTTCACGCCTAACTTCATACTCAGCCAACAAGCAGCCTCGCATCCAGCCAATGCTTTCACCCACACATCAATGTATCCTAGCTTCTATCTGAGGCCACCGGCGAACACCAACGTAAATAATCAGCGGGCGAGTAATGTACAGACACCCTTGTTACTTTGTAGGCACCATTACATACCATCCTTGGCCGCGATATCAGAATACGAGGAAGCTCACAAGCACCTGCGCCTATGCTGCTGGGCTGTCTGCTGATATCTAATCCAAGCACTGGTGTAAACGTGAATTAACTCCTGTCGTTTCCACTCATCTGTATAACTGTGGAGATTATTGCACAGCCATGTGCACAAGCTACTACGCCATTCTCTCAACAACAAGCGCGTAAGTGTCCTAACTCCAGATGTGCGTGGCTGCAAGACACCATGCTAAGCCAAATGGATGAGGTAAATATAGTGATGCTCCACACCCAAGGCACATGTGCACCAGCAAATCAAATCATAGCATTCCTGATCACTTCACAGGAGATAAGCACCTTAGGGTCAAAGTACCAGAGTAACGCACCTCATGTGATTGCTTCACCCCTCTCTTTCATCCTCTCAATGCCAAGTAATCTCTCGCTCATATGTCTGTTTTCACCGCGAGGATACTTCTCCTCGCGTCTCTTCAAGTATCTCAAGTACCTCATCTTGCAGTGCCTGTTTACATCTCCAACTGAACAACAATACAGTTCGTTTTACTTCAATTCGTATGAGCTTCCGGCTCATTCCAAACCCCGCCCTAAGTTTCCCTCGCATTGCACCCTCCAGCTCAACAGGGACTCAACAATCCATGGTTTGGGTCACCTCTAGTCACTTTCCTGCCTTCCTAATATGAATAGCATTCGATACACAAAGCCTACAAATCCCTCTGCCTTGACCTTACTCCTTCTCACAGGACGACTGCGAATCAGCAACACTGCCCACCATGCCTAGGATAGGATATGACGGTACTCTCTGCTACCATCCTTCCGAAAACTGCCCAATATGTAAGGCTTTCTGGATGTACGAGCCCTCGCTCATCATCAACTCAGCTTTCCTGGTGCTCTTCAGTATATCCTTCATCACTTTCGTCGTTCAAGGCACCGCAGATGCAAAATGGCTTGGCTTCAGTCTCGCCATGGCCATTGGTTGCGCGCTCGAGGTTGCTGGCTACGCAGGACGCATACTGGCACAGCAAGACATGTATGCAGAGGTATGTATTGGCCATAGACGACCGACTATCTTATCCGAGCCCCTCACTAAGACACTGATGACTGACAACACCCAGACCCCTTTCCTCATCCAAATCATCTGCCTGACCATCGCTCCCGCCTTCCTTGCTGCAGGCATCTATCTCTGCCTCTCGCGCATTGTCACCTCTGTCGGTCCCAAGTATTCGCGCATCAAACCATTCTCTTATCCAAAGATTTTCATCCCCTGCGACATCATCTCTCTCGTGCTCCAGGCTGTTGGAGGAGGCGTGGCCAGTGTTGCTATACACCACAGTGAGAGTACCAAGAAGGGCGACAACGTCATGATTGCTGGTCTAGCTTTCCAGGTTGCAACAATGTTCGTATTTATCCTGATAGCTACCGACTTTGCCTGGCGCACATTCCGCAATCGTAAACAGCTTCCGCAGACTACTCAGCGTGAGGGCGAGGGAAGGCCCCAAATATCAACGCCATTCAAGGCTTTCGTCATCGCTTTGGCCTTATCCACCCTTTGCATATTCATAAGATGCGTGTTTCGCGTTGCCGAGCTGAGTCAAGGTTGGAGAGGCAAGCTAGCTACCACCCAGAAGTACTTTGTTGGTCTAGAAGGCGCAGTCATTGTTGCATCCGTCTTGCTTCTGAACCTCTGCCATCCAGAGTACTGCTTCAACGCCACCAAACGTGCGAGGGATGGGCAACCCAGCAGGAAGATTTGTTTTTTCTTAAAGAGAAGGTCTGCTGTAAATCAGGGCGAGGCTAGTGATACTGAGCTGACACAAGTCACTACTACCCCGGCAAAGTAGGGGGCAGAGCGGGCATTAGACGTTTGGACTAAAAAGAAGATATGGAAATAGGTACAGCGAAGAGCGGGGGATCATCTCATGATGCCTTCTCCACTGGCATCAAGTCAAAAATCGTGCTTCGTTCCTGGGAGTTTGATTTACTCAATTCATTTGTTCTTGCTAGTTCTTTCTGGTTCCACAATTGTCTTGCTAAATCAATGACCATATCTGCGTGTACTTAAAAACATAACATAATGAAAAGGCGTTGTTGACGGCGTTTGTCTTCGACAGTCCTAGGTAGTTTCAATCGGATTGGCGTTGGTTCGGGTATTACTGAGCATGAACAACAGCGTCTCCACAATGAGAGACTGAAATGTACCAAATACCGAAGTATGAATCTGTGCACATATCATAACTGACAAAAAAGAACGGCTTGCCGAACATCATATATGCTTTTGCGTGGGTATGCTGACGGAAAGAAAAAGTGATTTGTACAGTATGCTGCTGCATCTACGACCCAAATACCATGCTTGATACGTCCTACACTTGCTCACACGCTCTCCTACGAAAAATTGTGCGAGCTTCTAATGGAACCATCTGAACTTCCCACTCCTATCTCTCCTAACATTTCCTTACTCATCATCATATCCCGCTGGCCTTGGCCGTGGTCCCTTTGGTACTGCAATAAATCAGCGCACCACTCTCTCGCATAAAAGAAAGAACATAGAGAAAATTGTCTTCTCCTCCATGCCTCCCCTTCCTCCCCTGTTGTCACGTACCTGGGTATGTCAAGGGAATCTTCTGAATGGGCTCTGCGCCCATGTATCTCCGAATCGGAGGGACGGTAACCAACATTACAGGACCAGCGAGGCCGATGACGATCGAGTAGAAGTAAGCCGGCTTGTTGTACGCAGCCCATTTCATGTACCGCAGCGGCTGACGGAAGAAGAGCGGGGAGGGAGGGACGCCGGACATGTTTGCTGTGTTATGTGTGAGCGCGGGGGGTTTAAAGCGTAGCAGCGACGCGCGCACGTACCAACTTTATTATCGTGAAGCGAGAAAATATCGAGGCGCAATTCACAAAGGGGCCCAATGCCTTGGTCTGGCGTCGCAATTGCAAGTCGACTATGTCGTGAGGTTAGCTGTTGGGTAGCTCATCGCTCCTCCCGCGCTCCTCCAATCGGCGCGCAGCGATTTTCCGGGACCGATAGGGCTTGGCAAATGCATACGTATCTCCCATGGCAGCTCTCTACGCGGCCGCGCATTCCGTCAAGTTCAAACTTGCACACAACCACAAGATGAGGTGGTTACTTTCTTTTACCCTCGCCTTTGTCTGGTCGCTGGTGGCTCAGGCCAAGAGCTTTACTGGCAGCCGGTTGCTGGTTGTGCTCGAAGACCAGGCCGAGCGGGAGAAGTACAGCGTGTTCCTCGAGGACTTGACATGTAAGTTGATTCATTCTGTCAATTGCAGCTTGGCAGACCATATACGATCTTTGCAAGCATTGGGAATTGGATTGGTTCACGCCTTGGGTTTGGAATTGCAAAGTGGTTGAACTTGCAACTTGGCCTTATGCCGCTCACGAATGCTCACTCGAACAACATTGTCGCATGCAACGACGCTGACACGCACATACAGCCCGAGGATTCACTACAACCGTCGGATCACCAAAGGATACTACTCTCACATTACTCAAGCACGGCGAACGAGCATACGACCATGTCCTCCTCCTACCAGGCAAGTCGAAAGGCCTCGGCCCTGCCCTCACTGCGAACAACTTCCTCGAATTCATGAAGAACAATGGAAACGTCCTTGTTGCCCTCTCAAGCGAATACCCTACTCCTACGGCCGTTCAGGCAATGCTACTCGAAGTCGACATCAGCGTACCCAACGACAAGGGCGCATTGGTCGTTGACCACTTCAACTACGATTCGCTGTCAGCAGATGAGGCGCACGATGTTCTTCTCCTTCCGTTCCCAGGTGCGCTCAGGCCCGATGTCAAGAACTACTTTTCTGGTGAGGGATACATTGCGGCCCCGCGCGCTGTCGGTCAGACTCTTGGAAACGAGTCTCCTCTCACTTCGCCCATTCTTCGTGCCCCCAGTACTGCATACAGCTACAACCCCAAGGATGAAGCCGAGGGTTCCGAGGACCCCTTCGCGGTCGGTGGTCAGTTGAATCTGGTCTCTGCCATGCAGGCAAACAACGCGGCGCGCTTGGTTGTTGTTGGCTCTGCTGAGATGCTCCAAAACAAGTGGTTCGCTGAGAAGGCGAAGCTGGGCGACAAGTCCATCACCACCGGAAACCGTGAATTTGCTGAGAAGGTGTCGGCCTGGGCTTTCAAAGAGACTGGTGTACTTAAGGTTGGAAAGCTCCTACACTACCAGGATGAAGGTGCCAGCAAGAAGTTGAACACCAGCACTTCCATCCCAGAGAGCAACCCCAGCATTTACCGTATCAAGACGGATGTTGTAAGTGACTTGTATGTCCACTTCTATGGTACGAAGCTAACTTCACAATAGCACTTCCAAGTTGAAATCTCCGAGTACAACATGGACCACCTGGAACCCTTTGTCCCTGCTTCAAACGACAACGTCCAGCTTGAGTTCAGCATGCTTTCGCCTTTCCACCGTCTTAATCTGTCTCCAATTGCGAAGACCGAGAATGCCACCATCTTCGGTACCGGGTTCAAGACACCTGATCAGCACGGTATCTTCAACTTCCGTGTCAACTACCGTCGCCCATTTGTCACCAACATCGACGAGAAGAGGCAGGTCACCGTCAGGCACTTTGCTCACGATGAATACCCAAGGAGTTATGAGATTAGCGGCGCTTGGGTTTGGATTGGAGGTATCTGGGTCACCGTTCTCGGATGGCTCGCATTCGTAGCTGTCTGGCTGTACAGCGCACCTACTGAGAAGAGCACCAAGAAGACACAGTAGATGGACTCTCTGGTTGGTTGTGGGGGCTACGGTGGGAAGGAAAGGTTCTCTATTGTAGCGCTGTTTTGGAGCCATATCACCCATTGGCGTTGCGCGATATGTACATTATGGAATTAGGGCATGGGAATGACCCAAAAAGCTTAGATCGGAATGATATCTTTGACTTTATCTCTTGCGTCACAGTTTGCACAGTTACAGCTTACTCTGCGCCTCCAACACCCTCGGATGCGCAACTCTTCCTGGCTTCAGTTTACTCCAATCCTCTTCATACCCTTCTTCGACATCAGGATACGGTCCCAACGGCGTAATAGCCAACGGATTGATACTCTCATGACTCTTTGTGTACTATTCAGAAACAAAATTTTTTGTCAGCAAACGCGCGCCCTATGCAACTCCACTCCAAAAGGCAAGCAACCCAGCAAGCCAGTCGAGAGATAGAAAGAAACGAAGAAGGAGAAGAAAAAGAAAAAAAGAAACTCACATTCTCCTTAATATGTCTAAACTCCGTCGTCTCCCTAAACCCCCGCACATTCCAATACAACCCCCTTAACCAATTATTCAGCACAGGATAGTCATGTCGTATGGACCCGAGATTCGTCTTAAAATGCTGCGCATACACCGTGTCGAAGCGCACGATAGTCGGGTAGGCAAAGAGATCGAGTTCGGAGATTTGGCTGCCGAGGATATACGGACCGCCGTTTGTGTGAATGAGGGATTCGAGGGTGTTGAGGGCGGCGAAGAGGGGGATGACGTTGTCTTCGTAGGGGGTCTGGGACGGGGCGAAACCAGCTTTGTAGACGCCGTTGCATATGAGGTCTGTGAGCCAGGGTTTTATTTGGTCAATCTTGTCCTTGAACTCCGTGGGGTAGTAGTACAAGGTTTTTACAGCAGAAGGTGGTGGCGGTGTTAAAGAGGCAAAAGCGTGGGGAAGCCATTTCACCATTTCGGCACTTTCGTTGCAGACTATTTTTTGGCCTTTCTTGTCCCAGATCATGGGGACGGTGTAGCGGCCTTTGTAGGCGGGGTCGTCGCGGAAGTAGATTTGGTGCAGGAATTGGCTGTTGAAGAGGTGGTCGGGGGTGCTGCCGGGGTAGCTGGCGTCGAAGCGCCAGCCCGGCTCGCCTTTTGGGTATGGACGCACGATGGAGATGGGGAGGAGGTCTTGGAGGTTGAAGAGGTGCCGGATTAGGTTGGCGCGGTGGGCGTAGGGGCAGAAGAGACCTAGGGTTGGGGTGAGTTTGTGGGATGGGATGTAGAGTCGATTGATTGAGAATTTTGTTTCTTGGTAACCTTGGAGGTTTTTGACGAGGCTTACCGATGTAAAGATGGTATCGATCTTTTTCTGGGGGAAATTCGCCGCCTTCTTGGATCACGCCGTGCCAACCATCGTCAGTTCCATACTTGTGGATTGCGGGGTTGGACATGATGAGATGAGTTGGGATTTGACAAATGGAACAAGGTCTGATCTACGATATTTGACTTTAACCGGACAGATAATTTAAGAATCCTGTCAGGGTTTGGATATGCCTTAGTATACAGCTTGCAAAGGCCGGCGGACTGTAATGGTGTTGCAGGTATGGCGTTGCGGGGCCCCACGTTACCTATGTAGCTTACTACCCTTTACCGAAATCACCCCGAGCCTACTGTATCCAGACTTCATTGCTTGGTAAGATGCCAATTAGTGACTGCTGGGCACACGTATGAACATGTTGGTATAGTTTCATTAAATGAGCTCATAATCTACCGACACTAATTACAGCACTTCAACTCCTCACACAACGACCCACATGGGACGCGACACTTCTCTGTACTTGGACGCGCTGTGCTCGTTGCACTAGCCATTGCTAGAGTTACTCCTTCAGATGCACCTGGGGTATCCTCAAGTCTCTCCGTAGGTGATGCAAGCTCGGGCTGGAGTGTCGCAGAGTGTATGCCGTATGCGTGCAGGCATTCAGAAAAGATCTTTGCTTTCTCCATGAAGCTCGCAATGTCAGGATCACTGACCCTGACATGTGCCGATGCAATTGCCTTCTTTTGATCTAGACGCCAGACGTGTAACTCATGTACACCCAATACGCCAGGAATGGCTTCCAGATCGTGCTTGACATCATCGATCTTGACGCCCAATGGTGCGGATTGCAAGAGGATCTTACCGCTCCGCTTCGTAAGAGGCAGCGCAGAAAGGAAGATCATAATGGCGATCCACATACTGACTGCCGGATCGGCGTAGAAGCGGTTGGGTGACTTTACGAACCAGATGATTACAGCTGAGATGATGACACCGATGTTGTTGATGGCGTCGCCAATGACGTGAAGGAGAACAGCAAAGATACCAAGATCCATGCCATGTTTCTTAGGTTGGATGACTAGATGCAAGTGATTGGCGTGTGTTGGGGTAGATAATCGAACTTCTCCATCGCTGTTGTTGCTGTGACCATGGCCGTGATCGTGGTCATGATCATGCTCGTGCAGGAACAAAACACTGATGATATTGAGAAACAGTCCGATACATCCCACGATTAAGATTAATTTTGGGTTGTCGACGTGTTCAATGGTGATGAAGCGCTCGATAGACTGTAGGGCGATGCTGAGGCCTAGGGCTAGTAGAAAGGCGCCGTTGAAGAAGGCACCAAGTAATTGGGCACGCGCCCAACCAAACGAAAGGTCTGCAGGTGATGTCTTGCGCTCTGACACTTGGACTGCCACCAGGGCTATAATGAAACCGATCAGGTCGTTGAGCTAGAGTGAAGTTTAGATATTTGTACGAGCGAGTAAGATAAGAGCATGGTGTATGTTCAGGTGAACAGCCCCAGGTCTCAGTCAAACTTACGTAGTGAAAAGCGTCTGCAACAAGGGCTAAGGAACGAGTATAAAAGCCGACTGATATCTCTGCCAAGAAGAAGCAGAAAGATATTGCTATAACGGCCCGAAGGCGTGTCTTCCGAGTGATGCTGGGCATGGCGTAGAGGGGAAATTGATGAGGAGACAATCAAAACTGCTTAGAGAAGCGCTTTATCAACAAGAAAGGTAAGCGTAGTGGAAGTAGATGTGAATGAGGAAAGCAGGTGTGCGCAGTACCAAACTAAATGGAAGTAAAGGCAAGTAATATTGACAACAATTCGTTGAATTTAACAATCGCGCAACACATAGTTCATAAGACATATTTCTCTGTTTTGTAACGTCGAACTCGGTGACAGATCAATCCCGGTGACAGATCGAATTGCTGGATTGCTGTGTTAGGTGTGATGGGGCTGCAGCCGTCCCAAATCTGCGACAGTGGATAGTCATCGCAACAGACCACCGTGCTTGTCACTCCTCGGAAGTAACGTGACGCCACTGCTGTCATTTTTGACAGCAAGTCAGACGACAACTTTAGCTGATGAAGGTCAATTCGTTACGCGCCCTGTAAGAGATGGATTGGCCTTCACATGATAGCGCGGTGAAACTAGCCAGATACAGGCTAGCGCCGGGATATCAATCACCGCCTTTGTCTGGTTACGGCCTGGACCCTCCCCGCCGCAGCAAAATATCTCGCAGCGACAGTTGGGCTTCACTTGGGCAACCTTCCATCTTTGGTCACTCTCGAAAACCAAATCTGCACTCACACAACTAGCCATTAATTACCGTTAGGATAACACAAAATGGGCAACGGAGCCAAGTACGCGACTGCCTTGACCAGGAGTGATTAGAGGGGCAGTAACTAACGAAACGTTAGAGCACAGCAGAAGCGCGACCGCAAGGGCGACTCAGGCCCCAAAGAAGCCAAGAGTCAACTGAAGGCTGTACGTACCCCATATTCTTGCACGATTTTGCGACCATCACCACAGGCTACTCTTGTTGCAAGTTGGGTTGCTAACGCGCCACCAGAATGCCGCCGCCCAAACCATCAAGTGCAAAACCTGCTTCCAGACCTTCCAGGGCACCACGAGCCGCAAGATGTTGACCGACCACGCTACCAACAAGCATAGCAAAGACTTCGGTGACTGCTTCAATGCGGATGAGGGTGTTGTGAAATAAACGGCACGCATTTCCGTCGAGCGACCGGACTCACGAGTGAACGAGAACGATCGCACACATTCTACCATTTATGCGAGCATGAGATACCATAAGCGAGGAGTTGAAACAGGGGACGAGCATTTATGGCGAAATGAATGAGACTTATTGTACAGGCGTAGGGTGTGGAATTCAAAATACTGATCTTTTACTTCCGAATGCTCACGGCTCTGACAATGCGCTTTTTATTGCTGCTGAATTATCGTTTTCCAACTTCACCCACTGTGTCAGGTTAGGAATCATAGACTCTACGAGTCACAGAAACATGAAGTCGCAGCATTATGATCAACGAGAACAGGTGGAGGAATAACTATCTAGAAGACTAATAGCCGGTGTTCAGATTGTCACGGATATATGGAGGTGTGGGTCTGTCATCATTACAGGGAAAGCTCAACTCTCCTGCCTAATACGGCGTATGACCCGTACCATTCGATGGTGATGCCTTCCGAGAAAACCGAAAATACAAGCATTTTGGAGGGTTAGTCATCATGTAAAAAAGTTATGACTAGGCCGTTGAATATCGAAGGATGAAGCCGTTCACTAGAAGTATCATCATCCGGAGATTACAATACTTCATGCCTCTACCTCATTAGGGGAAAACCTAGCACTCCTGGAATTATAGGTGTATAGTCTGGAACAACAAGTGATATAGCTAACGTAAATGGAGTCTTGTTATGCAACCACCACTCTATAACTGCTACGTTCATTTTCTTTGATCCTTAGTGATTTTAGATACCTTAGCCTTAAACTAATAATCCGGTTTAAGGTAATGCACTTAAACTACGTAAGTTTTGTCTATGCCCGGCAGTTCGTAAATCCACTGCTTCTACCCCGCTCCACCCCACTATCCTCGGAATGATTTTCAACACGGCACAAACGTAGTCATTTCTTCTGACAAACCAATATCGTAACTCCACCATGGTTTAGCTACTGTATGGCTGTTTTGTTCAGTATATAAATGTACAAAACTTCAAGTCCTTCATCAAACAACACAACACCGTCTCCTTAGCTCAATTGGGAGAGCGCCAGACTGAAGTCTTCGGTCATTAAATCTGGAGGTATCGTGTTCGATCCACGAAGGGGACATCGTGCCTGAGCTTGCTCAGGGTTCTTCGAACCATTTTTTTTGCGGGTGTTGCAGACATTTCGTTATGTATCTTCACATCCTTTTTTGTTTTGTTCGTATCCATTCGTGCATGAACCGAGGCTAAGCAACAAGCCACTAGCTAGTCTTCTCTTTTCTTTTTTTAATCCCCAATAAATTCTCCACGACTGCGTATTTGTAGTGGTTGGGTCTTCTAAAGGCGTTAAATGTAGATACTGTTGCGAACCAAGTGTACAGTGTATGAGCGGCAAAGTACCGACATAGGCATGTGTCCCTCATTAATATGAGCACCTCTATGTCATACATATAATTCTCAGTGGTATATAGCTACATGGTCCTGGCTCTCCATATCCTATCACCCGAAAACCGTTTTTTGGTTGAACATTAAGATCAGTGGCGATCAGTTCAACGTACGCTCTATTTGCCATGACTCAAATGGCCAAGCGGTTGTTTCCAGTCCATCCATGCCACACTCCACCAATCTCCTTCGCGATATCCTCTGCAGTCCGACCCTGTGCATCCTTCAGGCTCCTGATATCGACCTTGTCCTCCGTCAAACCCCGCATGATACCCATGGCCTCTGCTTCCTGGAAGACCTCTGGTGGGAATTCTAGCAGAGGATAGTTACTTGCGAGCAGGAGGAGCAACCAAGCTACCTCTCTACTCTGTGCATGTACCGCCGCATGTAGACCAGACTGCATATCACCAATTGGATCTTGATACCTCAGTACCCGGTCGATGCCCGTTTCCTTCTCAGGGTCATCTGTGGCGCTCATAGAAACATCTCCTTGCTCGTCCTCATCGTCGTCGTCCGAACTATCGTCCAGCAGCAGCTCGATGATAGCCTTGTAGTCACCCGCACGACAGAACTCGAGGAATGCGCGGGCCTTGCGATCTTCGGGGTACGCTTTGAGGTAGGATTCTTCTACGAGTAAAGGTAGGATATCGAGGTTTTCTTGGACTCCACCTTCGTTGTTGAGTCTGCAAAAGACTTTTTGCGTGTTGTCTTCGGTGACGGAAATTTCTTTTGAGCAGTTGGGGCAGGAGGTTATTTCGTAAGCTGAGAGAAGGCAGTCCCTGAGGTTTTTAAGATTAGCAGTCACATGGATTTTTTGAATCGTTTGCTTACCAGTGGAAGTGACATCCGCAGGACAATTGGACATCATCTGGGACAGTTTCTGGGGCGGGCGCAGGTGCTTTGCCCGACGAAGATGCTCCGCCTTCGTACTCTTCATCCTCGTCGCGCTCGACTTCTACCTCGAGAGGATTTTTGCAAATTACACAGCCAGACATTCTTTTCCTTTTGCGATTATTGTATCGGGGTTTGTAGGAGATTAGTGTTGGTGAAATGTTTGGCGGGGCATTAGCGGGGGTTTGGACTTTTTTGTCGCTAAAAAGCGAAAGATTGGTTCACGCGTCACGCGTCTGGAATTTGCACAGACGTCATACTATGTTGGAAAAGCATCTATTAGCGACCCTACTCGTTGAAAGAAGCAGAATCATTCCCTGGTAATAGTGCGTACAATTACAGCAATTTGGAGTAGCTGGCCCTCCTCCATAGCGATAATGGTTCTTTGGGGCATTCGGGCTTCTCTTCGCTCCCGTAAACCTTTGGTTTTCCGTCGACTCGTTTCCGGAGTGCTTCACCCACAGCCACCATCCTGTCTCCTAGCCGCATAACCATCTCCTGAGGACTCATCCGATCTTGTCTGGGATCGAGGCGGTCTTCAAAGTCGCTCTTCGGTCCCTCGTACCTACAAGCCATGGCTATCTCTGCATGCGTTGCTGGAAAGATGTCCCAGTCGCCATACGAGGTCCACCGTCCGGCAGTGTCGTTCCGCATTTTTTCAGCTTCCAAATCCCGGTAACGCTGAACGATTCTCTCGATTCTTCTCCTGTTCTTGCTGCTCCTTGACTGTGTGAAATAGTCGGTGTACAACTTGCTCCAGTCCACCAGCAAAACTCCGTCTTCGGCATGCCAGTACCAGATAGCCTGGTTCGACAGCTTGAATGGCCAGTACGATCCAACACTGACTGTAGCATTACACCTAGAGGAGGTTGCAGAAAAGAGACGTGATAAGCATCCAACCCGCTGCTGATCTTGTTGCCAAGTGTCTGACACCGGAGCCTCCTGTCCAACTGAAAATACCGCCAGGTTCGAATTCTCGGACAAAACGCGATTGAACTCCAGCTGATAGTTGCCATTGGGAGAACCAAGATCGGATGTGATTACGGTATGCGGCAGATAACACATCGGGTATCCACGAATAGTCGTCGGTCGCGTCTTGCAGTCATGTTTGCGGCCACCCGTCTCAGTCACAATATGCTGACAGGCGTTGCAGAAAATGCCGGGGAGATCTGCGAGTGACCCTGCAAGCGACCTCTCAAAATCAAATCTCCCTAAAAACGAAGTGGATGGCATGGTGGTAGTTGAGTCGGGTGGCCGTGTGCAGACCTGAGACGCCCATGATATTTAGAATCTTCTCAAAAGCTATAAGCTCTGACTATTTCCAAAACTTTGGTACAGAGGGTGTGGCCGATACGCAGGGTTCTGCTTGCTTTCACGCGTTACCAGACTTTCATTGCCATAGCAATCGTGACGCTGCGCTGTACGTGGTCTTACTACGTACCAGGCCAGCCCCCCTCACGGTATCGTAGCATGACGTGGCTATCTACTCTGTCTTTACGCGTTTTTGGGATGAACGCGGGGTGCTGGGATCGACCAATGCAGGAAGAAGAAAGGAGTTGCTGTTTCCATCAGATCTTCTCTTTCGCGCCTTAGCCCATACCCATTTCTTCAAAAAGCAAGCACGTTATCTGGGGCGGTCCATCTCCCGGCTCCTCCCACTGGTGGAGTCAAAGGGAAAAGCATTGTATGATGCATCCGTGTACCTGAGGACCCGCCCTGTTGTCTGACATGCACATCACAAAATACCATAGCACAACACGGGAAGGGTTTTGCTTTTGGAGAAAACCCCCCAATCAAGACGCGAGCGCATTCTGTAAACCAGATCGTGAAATTACGCTATCTGCTCTAAGGGACTGCCAACTCACGATCAACACCGTCTTTCCATATGATCTCGTGCCTGCGCAGCGTCATCGCGTGCCGGATGCCGCCTCTAAATCAACGAAAAACACAGTCGTGATAGGTGCCCGCACACATGTTTCCAACACCCCTATCTCTCTCACATGGCCACGCATGCGTGGTGCTAGCCTTGCATGACCCAACATTCACAGCATCAATGACGACACGCTCATCAACAACAGGCGTCAGAAAGCAGGGCGATGCTGGTGTCTGTAGGATGCCGAGTGGGCTTCCTAGCAACAAGCGGGAGTGAGATGCGTGAATCCGATCATAAATATTAGTTTAGAACTACCCGGCTACCGTTCCAGCCCGGCCATATGCTCGATCAAACGCTTTCCACGTTCCACTCCACTCTTCGTCTGCCCTCCGCTCTTCCTCGACCATTTCCTGGATGCTTTCTATGCTCCTCGTCTGGGGTATTGGCCGGTTCTGTACCTCTGTCATATCAACACTCTTGTTCTTCTTGGCCTTTTCGGCATTGAGACGGCGGATGCTGTCCTTGTTCTTGATCAAGAGACGTTGCGATGCAGTCCTCCATAGGCCTTTTGAGCTACCGACGCGGTGTTGAAGTGGCTTATCCCAATCCTGCTCCCATCCCCTTACACTTTCGGTCAACATGGTGTTCAAGGCGACGTGAGAGTGAATTGAAGGCGGGTAGCAAATCCGTGCTCCGGTGCTCATCTTCCCGTGTGGAGATGTTGTACTGTTTACTGACGGCGAAGTTGGGCTGTATAGATTATCTGTGCGGTTAGGACGTCTTTGGCCCGATCGAGTAGTGAGGTCTGCAGCAGAGTCGTTCCTTAGTGTAGGTGATCGTGGTGAGTCTCTGTGGAATACTTGTTGGGCCTGGAACGAATCTAGCCACGAAAGCACTGATCGAGGGCCAGGCAATGGCTCTTCTCCTGCTCCCCTAAGATACCCCCTCGTTTTCTGAACTGGTGTCTCGGGGATGTCTGATTCGCGGGGCGTGTAACCTGGACTTCTTATAGGAGACTTGGCTGATCGTGATGTTGGGCGGCCTCCGACTAACGAGCTCACGCTTGCATTTACAAGCCGAATGGTCTTTTCACGGCGGAGGTTATGTCGAGTTGTTGGTTGAAGCTTGCCTTGCGAAGGCAAAGCCCAATTGGTGCTCGTGCTGGTCGTTTTCGAGTTCATAGTCCCTGTTTTCCCGGTGGTGGATCTTGATCTTCGGATAGATAGTGTATGTCGTGACATGTGGTTCGCAATGCTTGTACGGTAAGGCGGTTGGATTGATTCACTTTTATCCATGTATGAGGCCTTCTTTTTGCGGCGTGGATGACATTTGGTTAAACAACTCCCGAGTTTCTTTGCCCATAGCAGGATGTGAGACTTGCGCTTGGACTTCGTCATACGGTCAGTTGAGTCGTCAGCCATATCCTCGCTCATAGTGGCGATCGTAGTATCGTTCATGTCGTCGTTCATGTTTGTCGTAAAGGAGTGTATCGCTTGTTGTATACTCTGCGTAAAGATAGAACTGATGTGTCGCAGGTAGCGAAACAAAAAGGAGTTTCTGGATGGGATACGAACGAAATATGAAACGGAACGAAAGGAAAAGAAAACAATGTTTTCGTCCGTGTTGAAGGTTGTGAGACGCACGACCAGACAACAAGTTGATGGTGGAGTGGGAGCTATGATCACGTAGCAACGTGATGCTACATTCCGCAAGCACGTTGGCATATCCAGATGGTCAGATGATGATAGTGCGCTATCCTTCTATAAACCAAGTCCGAGAGTCATTGCTGGCTGTCATCTGTTCCGATATAGACGCAGGGAGAATGCTGTACCAAGTTTTGGCAATTAGGTAGTCGCAAGTGAACCCCCCTTCACCCCACCATCATGAACCACTTGGTCCAGTATGCAAACTGTGGAGCAAACTGCAGGTTTCCGAACGAGGCTGTCCCATGCATTCTGCACGAGCATTGTTGGGTAGATCGCTCTTGCTAGTAAATTGAGGGGTAAATGCGCCCTAGCAATCTGCTAGAAATGCATGTGTATGTGCCCGTCTGTTGAGAGGGTCCGCGTTTCGCTGGCTGAAATGCTAATGAAGCACTGATCTCTCTGTCGATTGTTCTTCATATTTCGGATAAATAGACCACGCTTTACACGTTGCTTTTGCGGCTGATGACCGGGCGATCCGCTTCGCTGCCAAATGTCCGCGGAGCGGAAAAATGAAAAAAATGCATCATGCTTCCCATGGCATTTCTATTCCTCATGGCAACCCTTCATTTTCTACTGCCTCGGCGGAAATTTTCCCATGCAGAAACGCATGAAGTTTCTTCCGCTTCTGTAACAGCTCATTCCCAACTTGCATATTTCCAAGATAACGTAGACAATGAGTGTGAGTGTCAAGCCGACGCTCAGGAGTACGGCGCTTGTTGCAAAGAAACGGAGTAAATGAGCAGCAAACCCAAGACACCTAAGTATTCGACTCCTCGCTCTTTGTCGTTTTTGTGTTGCAAAGTACCACATCACGAATTCTTCTTGGCGTGATTGCAACCCCGAGGCCGAGTCTGCCGTATGCGGTTGTATTCGTGGTCGAATCGCTTTGCTCTTACACTTAACGCCTTGTGCTTCCTCGCCTAGGTGAATACGAATCTTCGGCTCATAACTCGTGACCAAATTGCACAGATCTCCAAAAATGACCTTGGCGACCGTCGCACGGTCGCTTAGTAGGGCAACGCGTACGTTCTTGGCGTCGGGAAATAGCCATGTGATGGGGTTGCATGCTGTATGTAGACAATGGCGTCCTAGACTGCACCAGAAGCAGCACCAGGAGATGTAGATAGTGCTCTCGGAGAAGACCTTTCGTGGCAGTGCTTCTCTGGCACATATAGCTAGGAGGCGGGAAGTGGGACGTATGTTGTGCCAGAGATCGTGCGCAGAAATGTGTCCGCAGATTTTCAAGATAAGTTCGGTGGGAAGACGGTTAAAGCTTGAAGTCTGAGGATGCTTGAGAGTACGCATTTCTTCGAGTCGGCTACTCGACTGGGAGTCTCTCCGCAGTGCGTTGCGGTAACTTGACGGCCACAAGGCAGAAGTGCTCATGATAGGTTCGGTGTGCGCTGAATGTAGGAAACGCGCTCCAGGTTAGATACACGAGAGGATGAGGAGCCATCAAGATAAGTATTCTCAAGTATGGGCTGATGTGAGCAGCCGAAAGGGCTTGCGTAGGGCGCCCCTCGCAAACTGTTCGGCGCTTATAGATGCGTTTGGGGGCGTGAGGCCAATGGACATCGGACCTGAATGTTAGCTCATATGGCGGACTATATAGTAGGATTCCCTAATCAGCAATCAAACACTTGTAGACATTGTTTGAACTTATAAATGCCGAGAGGGTAGTTCACCCATCTTCTAGGTTTCCTCTCCGCTGTCACAACGTGCATAATTGAACTGCTTCAACCAATCAATATCTTCGATCCTTTGTACTTGACAAATAGCACTAACCAAAAGAGTAGTTGCGGGGAATGTAAGACTTCTATCGACCTTGATTACCTTAATTGGCCGAATGCCTTATCACGCGTACTTGACTGAATGATCGGGATAAGAACTAATCGAGTTAGCGAGAATTGCTAGTAGTAGCCGATTGCGGCTGCTTTCCGCTGAACACCGACCGACCTTTGTATCGGCGCGAGCTGAACCTCTCTTTGATGTTGCGTATAGCCTGTTAGTATTGTCCCGAAAACTCATCAGCTGATGAAGGGGAGTGGGAAGGGGAGGGGGGAAGGGGGCGAAACCTCCACAGGGTAACCACTGCTTGGAAGATGCAAGGCTCCAAGTTCGTCAGTCTTAACTCATGCATCTCTCATGTACATAAGCGGATCACATGCTAGAGATTACTATGGAAATGGTTTTGTTCTGGAGTAGTAAGCCGGGGTTTTCGCAGTATCCACACAAGCACGCCTACTTAGGTGTGCCCATTGCCGCGCTTTTCGCGATTCTCTTATCTGCAAGGTTTCATTTATATCAATTCCGTCAGGGCACCCACAGCAACAAGAACCCCGGTTGCGATTGGACTGTGTTGATAGGCAGAAATCCCATTAAATGAAAAACGGCCTTTGCGGATCGGATGGCGATTGAATCAATTACCGGGGTAAGTAGAGTCTGTCGCCGTGGAAAATCCCCATTTGGTATGACACCGGCTCTCGCGCATATGACTAGTATGAATGCATACCTGGTGATTCCCGTGCAACAAAAACGGCCACTCTATTACTCCTAAGATGAAGCTAGGCGAGATATAACAGATATGCTGGGCATTATGATTACTTCGACCCATCGGAACCTTGCGCTTTACTCTTGATCTCGGCTCGCTAATCGGGTGCACGGCATGCATTCAAAGCGCACCCTACATACGTACACACCCAGGAAAACTGCAATAGGGCATTGTAATACCACAAGCAGATATCAACACGTCAGCCTTACTGCCAGCAATGCGCCTGGCAACAGAATACACGGATGTTGAGTGGCTCGGATACGAGGGTGTTTCAGCCTTGTAACGGCCGCGAGCCTTGTCGCCTCAGGTTTGTCTCAGTCGCAATCACGTGGAGCAGCGAGGTCCCCAGCCACTCCCGATTTTCCGGACAAAGAGGAATGCCAATGCGTAACATGACGCTTCCCATGCTGCGCATCATACAGTTCTGGGGGAGCAATATCAGACGCACCGATCACTCGCTGTACTGTGGTTGTTCGAACTGATTGCGCCACAAACTACAAGGTGACAATAGACGGCACAGTGTGAACGCCTCGACACCAATCCTCGACAAAGACGCTCGTAGTAGTACGTATCAGCTACCAGAGTCTTGCGCCGAGAGTCCAGGGCAAACTCGTATTTCCTGGCCTAGATTCATTGTTACCTGCAGGGTCAGGCACAGCCAGCCACAAGGGATGTTTCAACCCCGCGAGCACTGCAGATGGCATCAAGACAGGGCATTCGGCTAGCGTGACTCCGAAGCACGGTGTCATGATGTTGACGTCTATAATCATGCTCTGTCTGCTGTCAGAGGTGAGATCTCTGCTTGCGTTTGCCACACATACTTTCTCCAACTTTCTTCATTTCTCTTTCTAGCGCTCTGGAAGCCGCTGCCAGCTGGACTGTGCATATTACTGTAAATTCTTCTTTTTTCGGAGTTTGCATTTTCGTTTTTTAATATCATAATGGGGTGCGGCAAGTCTATTTTGATCACTCTCAGGGCTCTGGCCTTGATTGTCGTTCTGGGAGTCACTGGATTGGGCGGTTGGTGTAAGAACAACTCTGGTCTTCTGGATAAATGAGCCGGATTTACTAACAGACCGATGTAGCCATTTTCACTATTCGCGATATCCAGGCCCGTAGTGATGCGATTCTCGATAGTGTTGAGTTTGGATCACAAGAGATGGAACAACTCTGGGCGAGGTTTTTCGATGCTGTGATCAGCGGCGCAATCAGGACATGGATTTCCATCGGTTTAGTACGTCTTTCGATTCTTTGCTGAAACCACAATACTGACGATATAGACTGCTCTTGCTTCCGTGATCAGTATCGTATTGGTCTTCGCAACAATTCTGCCTCCCATCCGAATCCGCTCGGCAATCATGGTCCCCTTGGAATGTCTGGGAATGTGCGCTGTTGGAGCAGCAGTTGGTATCTCTCTGAGTTTCGCTTTGAGCGTGAATGCTTTCGGCGCGAGAGTTCTTGATACATCCGCTTCCCCAGAACTCAGGAGGCTCGCCATGCTGGTAGGCCTCAGTATGGTTCACTTCATCACAGCCGGTGCCGGATGGCTTCTCTTTCTGATCGCATTCATCGTCGCCACTGTAGATGCATGCAGACGCGCTCGAGAGAAGGAAAGCTGCTCCTTTGAACCAACGGCATCTGCGCTTGGAATATCTCACGGATACGCCACGACTTTCCCTCCTCAGTCGCCCTACCGTATGCCAAGTATCTACGATCCGGAAGTAGCTCTGAACATGAACGATGCAACAGCCTCAGCATGGAACATTTCTCAGGCCAAAGAGTTGGTGGGGAGGGATCCAGGAATGAGCCGTGCAGAGTCGATTGTGAGCCAGGAGGGCAGGTTGTCAATCGGATCTGATATGAGTAGTATCTCCGGTCCTTTGGGTCTGCAGAAGCCAGAACGAGCACAGCCAGCCCGGCCAGCCCGGCCATCAAGACCATGGAGTGGAGCTTCTAGCATAAGGAGTGGAGTCTCTAGCATCAAGAGCGGAGTCATACACGCAATATAAAACGTGCATACGCTCCCAAAAAACAGATGATAGATTGACGATTTCCTACGCTCGCTTCCACAGAATAGACACATTCGCTTCGCCCAACTGAGAAAACCATGCAGTGATAAACTTTGAGAATGCAATCATGTGATCGCGTCTCTAGCGCGTTTTTCTAGCGCGTCAAAGCACGCCCTGCGTCATCGCCATCGATAGCGCCCTCACCCACATTTCACGTTGTTGCACGCACTTTTCCCCATATCACAGCAATGACAGGATTCAAGCGAGGCGGCGCTCGAGGCGGCTTCAAGAAAAGTTTCAAAAACAAACGCTCTTCTCCTGATGACGACGACAGCGCGCCACGTGCAAACAAGAAAGCGAAAGGCGATGAGGATGATGATTCGCTTCCCGTTGTACCTGAACTTAAGACGGATGATAACGGTGATGCGTTTGTTGCTGTACGTAATACAATTGGCTCAGTGTATGAATTCTTATTTACGAGAATCATAGTTAAATAGCAGTGGCAAGCGACGCGTGACTGTTAGCGATTTCAACAAAAACACTTTCGTCAGCATTCGTGAATACTATGTCACCGATGCTGGAGAGACGAAGCCGGGAAAGAAAGTAAGTTTGTTTCTCATCTATCAGTGTCTTGTATGTGAGATTGCAGTGCTAACGGAACTAGGGCATCTCTCTTTCCATTGACCAATACAATGCACTACTCGCTGCTGCTCCGCTCATTGAGTCTGCGCTGGCGAAGAAGGATATTAAAGTGATACGGCCGGATTATGATGACGATGCTGGTGCAAAACCTGAGACAAAAGAGGACAGTAAGGAGGAAGAGGAGGTTGCTGAAGGAGAGACGAACAAAGAAGACGACGACGAAGAAGATGATGATTGATAGGATACAAAAACTGTGGGGAGCATTCAAAGTATATCGTAAGGACTGCGAGGAGTTTTCGGCGCAATAGTCCCTGGTTGTGGAATCAGGATATAACCTCACTGCTTTCTCATATGGATACCGGGAGAAAAATAGGTAATTCAAAGCATCGTGTATTATGACTCTATCAAGTCTGTCTTAAATGATTGGGGTTTGCTGATCCTACAAATCTTCTCTAAGAACACGATTACTGCAGTTTTCTCAATTGTTTATAGTTTACAGCTGGAATGCGATAAGCCTTTTATGGCCCTCACTCCATGAACCCCACTTTTACACAGTCGGTGAAACGAAGACCCTAGGCTATAACAATTAACGTCCTATATTGGTGGCGTAGATAGACGTTTGCTGGAGGAATAAGCTTTTTCTCAAAGTATGTTTGCGCCAGGTGTGTTCGTCTTGCCATACCGGGCATTGCACTAGGGCCGATGGCTTTTAGGTCCTTCCTAAGCCCAAAAGTATAACTCTTAGAGAAATAACCAGCATCGCTGGTGACAAACTAGCTGCAGAATTTAGGCATAATGAGAGCAAAAAAACCAAGTGTATGGAGAGATTTGGTTGTGTGTATAGTAGTCTTGGACCTACATGAGGCGTAACATGTCAGAATGCATTTGTGGTAGGCTGGAGTAGGAAAAGACCTGCGTGGCTTGGGTACGGCTGAGCAGATCATAGCAGGGCTGAACTTTTCAGCTCAGTAAAAAGTAAAACGACAGGCATTAATGTTTCGGTATTGGGGGATATTCGAGAGACGGTCAAGGGGAGCGCGCTCGGTATGGGAGGGGCGAACGTGCGTCTCTTGTGCGCGAGTGCCTCCTCTCTCTTTCGCTGGATGCCGAACGCCGGCGGTCGCGCTTTCGGTGACGATCTCGAGAATTCTCACTTTCATCTCGAGCTCGTTCTGATCGGCGTCGACCATGTCTGTCTTCTGAGCGATCTTTGCTCCTCTCACGACTCTTGCTCCGATGTTCCTTCCGCCGCGAGCGCCTATCCCGCTCATCGTGCTCTCCATGTTCCTTAATTCGCCTTCTCTCTCTATCACGATCGCGGTCTCTTGATCCATCTCTCCGGCTGTGCCTATCCTTTCTCTTTGCTCTCTCTTTCTCCTTGCGCTTCTGCTTCTTCAGTCTTTTGATTGCATCGTCCACCTTTTCTTGTTGTCGCTTGATCAGGGAGTCGCGCATTGGGTCTTCTTCATCTAGCTTGTCCATGAGACGACCCAGTTCAATCTCTTCAGGCAGGAGCGGTCGGTCTTCGTCCGAGTCAGATTCGCTTTCAGTCTTGCGCCGCTTCCCCCTGCCATTGTCAGACTCAACTCCTGGATCGATATCGAGCTCTCCCATGGTGTTGTCCCTCATGTCCTCATCGTCCTTAGGCTTGTATCGTGCATGATCCACTCTGATGATTCGATCCATAATACTGGCACCGCCTAGATTGTCGACCGCCAAGTCGCAACTCCGTTGATCCTCATATTTGATCCATGCGAAGCCCCTCGACTTTCCTGTCTCTTTGTCGCGCGCGAGCTTGATCCATACGGGTTCACCGTACTGGGAGAATATGGTAATGATGTCACCCTCAGAGAGTTCAAAGGGAAGGCCGCCAATGTAGATGAAGGCGGTGTCGCGGTAGTCGGTATGCCAGGAGCCTTCAGGACTGATTCCAGCCTCGAGTTCGCGCTTATTCAGCTGCTGAATCGCGCGGATAGAGTTCATGGTGAGGGTTGGTTGTGAGTATGGTGTCGTGTGTTCGGAGATGAACTTTTGGAGAAGCTCGGGCTGGGCTAGGAGCAGCATCCCTGCAGAAAAGGTACCCACGACGTGGAAACAACTACACCAACACCAACCCCGCAAGACACGCTCCCCGCCGCTGCATTGCCCCTTTCTCTTCCGCCACACAAATCCTGGTCCATCGTGAGTTGATCGCCCACACGGCCAGAGACCGCAGCAGGCAGTACACAAGCCACCGTCCACACCACCTCCGCAATGGCCAGCGCGCGCCGCACCCCCAACTTCCCCACGCGCACCCCGGGCAGCAATGACCGTCCAGTCACGGCAGATGCAGACAGGGAGGAGATATGGAAGCCCATGCTGGACAACATCTCGAGCGGAAAGCGACTGCCGGAGAAGAGTTTGTTAGTGTTGGGTGAGGCCACAGAAAAGCGGTATAGGGGACAAAGCTAATTCGAAGGTGGCAGGCGGAACACCAGAAACACAACGAGACTTTCTCGAATCAGTTTCTACAGATTCTGCAAACAACCGGAGACCGCCGGATCGTGGCAGAAAGCCGCCCGTTGCCAATCAGTTCGCCCTGGGATACACGTACCAAGACGTCCTGGACACGGATCATGAGGGTATGTGCTATCAACGGAGTGCGCTACCTATTTTCCTTTGCTAACACCACCAGACACTCTCGCTCGCCTGTCGCTATACCTCCTCGCAAATCCTTCACCCTCCTTCACCCCACTAATCAAACCCTATCTCAATCCACGAACTCTCCCACACATGCTCATCGTAATACTTCTGGACTGGAATCACCCGTGGCTATGGATACGCCAACTCCGCGACTGGATACGGGTGCTGAGATCCTTGATTGTCTCACTGGATGATGCGTCCAAGGTTGTCTTGGAAGAGAACATCCAGACTTTGCAAGACAAAGGTCGTAATCTGGCCACCGAAGGAAGCAGCCTAGAGAGCGTAAAGGTCCCACTCGGTCCCGGCGAGTGGGATGAGCCTCTCGGCATTCCTTTGTGTGTTGTTTGCCAGAATGCTGACAAGATCGAGACGCTGGAAAAGGAGCGGGGATGGAAAGAGGAGGAATTCGACTTCATCCTCCAGTACATGCGCACTATTCTTCTCAAGCACGGGTCGAGTCTGGTCTACACTATGCCCACGGCACCCGGTTCATTACAAACACTTATCCATTCTACTCTGGGAATCAAATCACTACTGAAACAAGAGCAGTTGCGGCACAATGTCACAGACCGAGATCGAGTGTTGGTCCCTCCAAACTGGGATTCATGGGCAAAGATCCGCATTTTGCGCGAGGGATTCGATGTGGAGGGAATAAGCGAAAAATGGAGCGTTGATATCGACATTCCCAACCATATGCGGCCAACAAATGGCCAAGCAGCTGCCCCCGTTGAGGGAGAAGAACAAACAAACGGCGAAACAATGCCAACTCCAATCCCGGAGGAGGAGTACCAGGGCCCTACGGCGACTTCAATCTACGAGGAGACGATCCGCAATCCCGAATCTGACTATGCATTGTCCAGCCTGTCTAAACAGGCCAACGGCCTCGAAGTGTCTAGCAAAGATCCGCAAGCCTTCCTCGCTGAGCAGGTCAACGTGCTTGAGCACTTACGACGAGAAGACGAAAGTGAAGCCGCCCTCAAAGCTGCACGCAAAGAACAAGAGCCAGTGTCGCGAGCCTGGGCCGATGATGCATCAGGCGTGGTTGAGGAGCATATCGGTCCTGTTCAGTTCAACATGGGTGGTATCCAGGTCAATGCTGACGAGATGGTGAAGAGACTACAGGTGAGTTGAAACTGAATTTGTTCTAATATGGTATTTCGGACAAAGAAAACTAACTGTATCCAGGACCGCCAAGCCAACCGAACGGACGATCCCGAAACCCCACCACCCAAGACTCAAGATACCAATATCAACGACAACGAGAAACTGCGATCTTTCTTCTCAAGCCTCGTCAACAAGACACCTTCAAGCACCCCACGCGGCTCATGAGCTTTTTGCAGTCAGAGAATCCATGTGTTTAAATGCCTGATTGCATTCTTGCTCTTCGTCGTGTAGTTTTTTGTTTCAAATTGGTGTCTGTTGACTATGTCGTCAATTAGGGCCACGGGCTTTTTCTTCTTCTCTTAAGGTTACGATCGGCATCAGCATGGCTCTATACCCACTGTGTAAACTCGGTCTACAATACAATCTTTTCACATTAACCTGAAGTGTTTGGGATAATTGTATATTGTCTTGCTGTGAAGGCGAATTAGGCAAAACTGAGGGTAAAAGGAATACCAGAAGGGGCTTTGGAAGCATTGGGGTGTGATATTGACAATACTAGCTCATGCTGTTGTCCAATCATGAGTTTTGCTCATAACAGCAATGTAGCTGCAGGGCGATGTAAGGGTCCGCGTACGTCTGATAGCTCTCGGGTATAGCATGGATCTCATAACGTTTTCCTTCGTCCCAGTAGCCCGCGCCACACCCGCTTTGATCCGTACGGATCGACCAACGAGGATTCCAATTCTAGGGGCTATACCCGAGATTGCACGGTAGTCCAATCAAGGGGAGGCTACAGGACTAGGTCGGTATCACAGCATTTCAAGCTTATTTCGAGTACCAACGAAAGATCAATAGAAAAACGTACATGCATGCAGAATCAATAAATTCATCAAATTTCGTTTCCTACATCCTAAGTTCAAATGCCAGCTATAGACCCAGAACCCCCCTTGGGCCAAAGCAAATCATGTCAGTATTCTACCTACGCAAGCTGCTGTCTCTGTCCCGTGACTAGAAAGGGTAAAAGGCGTTAGTAACATGCTTCAACGCTTTCATTCTTGCTGGGGAAAAATGGGGGTTAAAAAAACATACCAGGACACACGGCACCATCCCTAGCAGCCTCTACACTCGGATGCGTAGCAACCTTATCCTTGTGGTGTCCGACCGTCGCCTTGGTAACAGGGCAGACGTCGCCCTCGTTCGCCTTGAGCATATCCGGGTGATCTGGGGGTAAGACGGTAGTAGCTACACCAACTATGGGGCAGATAGCGTCGTCCATTTCTTGAGCGTGTGGCTGCTTTACGATATTGTTCTTGAGGGCGGGACACGCGGTTGCGGTCGTCTCGTTGGTGGGGACCGGGGGGTGCGAGTGCAGGTTGTGGTGGTGGTCGGTTGTTGCGCCTACGACGGGGCACTGTAGGTAAAAATGTTAATATAGAACTCGGGGTTTGGTTTAAAAGGGTGGCAGTTGATGGAGGGGGTTTGCGTACCGTTTGGCCGTCCTTGCTGAGGTCTATGGAGGGGTGATTTGGAGGAAGCGTGTCATTCGTTGTTCCAATGATCGGGCACGACATTTTGGAGATGAGGCTGTGATGGGGTTGTTGTGGTGTTGTGGTGTTGTGGTATTGGTTGGTGTTTGTTGGGTACTTTGGGAGCTAATAGGTATCTTTGAGGAGGAAAGAGGAGAACAGGCTGGAAAAGAGGAGAAGGCAGCGGTATGGATATTGAGTTTTGATAGAGCTTGTCCATGCGACTTGTATGGTCCGGTTTGAAGCTAATTCCCCAGATTTACAGGGATTAGGCAGTTGACGTCGTTGTCAGCGTTATCGTCGAGCCGCTGATTGGGTAGATTGGCTGGGCCCGAAGACATCGCCTTGTGCAACCCTCCCTTTGTACGTTACGCATCACGTCATGTGGTCGGAGAGTACCGATTGATGTCTCGCATCACGTGCTGTCAGAACTGACGTACCCTGTGGTCTGTGCAATGCTGTAGCATAACAGTACTACTATTATGTCCGTATGTATAGTGCACTATACTTAGTACTCCTACTACGACTTACACATATCATGTATGGAAAGCAAAAAGTCGATCCCTATGTGAGTGACTCTTTATATATGCATTCGGTCTTATATAGCGCTGTGTAAGTCTGGTTGTGGGGAGGAACGTACACTTGTATCTTCGAATCACTCTATGTCCTCGTATTCGTCCTTGTTTTTGTCACCACACTCTCCAGCTGTTTCATCTTTGTCATCGGCACAATATACTACTCAAATAACCTTGCGCTAGTTTCGTCATTGAAAAGAACCTTACTTGAGACATTTGAAAGAGCCCAAGACTGAAGGGCACAATATCACGGTTCTTGGGGTCAGCGCTATTTATTGCTCCGTGTGGATCTTGTAAATTTGCACCCATTATTTCTCCTCGTCGGACCCGACATCTCATCCAGCTCATTGCGAATAAATATCCACGCCAACCGCGTTTGTCGGCCGTTGATCCTTTTCGGGCCTAGGATAGGCTGTATTCTCTTACAAAATAAGCAGTTGTTGTGAGCGAAAGAGGGCTAACAAGTCCGCCAAGATAGGATTCAAGCACGCGTCCCCGTGATTCGCCGCCTTTTAACCACGAATGGAAAGAAGATTGTTGTTATCGCCTTGACATGTAACTACCAGTACTACTGAGCAAATCCGTCTCGCATGTTATGCTGTGGGACCCGGCGCGTATCTGCACATGGGCCACAATCTGTGCATTATCTGCGAAATATTCAGCAGAAAGAACACGACTTGTAAAGTTGGCCATGGAAGAGAAGGGCTCTGCGCTCAAATGCGATGTTTAGGTAATAAGGCGTTGTGAACTGTCCGAGGTACGGCCGGACGGTCAACATATCCCGGGGTTGATATTCCCTTACTTTAGCCATGTTGCCGTAGTACTAGGGCGATAGGCGAGGAAACTCATCTTGCTGCAACCATCTTCATCGCCCAAGAACAAATTCGCTACGTATGACAATGTAGCGGGGCGTTTTCGACTGTGAGTGACGCATATCGCGATAAGGACGTCAATGCGACTACCCACGTTTGGGGAAGGCGCCTCTATAATGCTGGGGAAGGCGGTATCCAGTTCCCATCTGCTGACCCAATTCCCAGAAAAACACCGCGGCAACTACCCCACACTCTTCCCCAGCCGGCTCTTTTGTTCCACTAATGCATGCATCGGTATTAAACTCGCCATCCATGAGCCGCATAGTGCCGGGTCAGGTGGAGCTGCTGTTAATCTATCCATTTACCGCCATTCGCTGTATGAATTAGCTTTATATGAAAACACCAATCTCGCACTCTACATTTTCGGAGGCTAACGGCCGTTCTTCCAGTGGTGTATGCATACAGCCGTAGCATGGGTTTCATATCTAATATCTAACATATTTATTTCCGTCTGCACTTCAATCCATCTACCCAGGTTGCCGTACTGCTGTTCAGCTTGCAATTGACATTGACATCCGTCGTCAAGATGTTCGCTGTCCCTGTACTGGTGACTCGCAATGTGTAAGCAGAATATTCGCAGTGGATCCAATCTCAATACTAATGGATTCATAGGGTTGATACTCCATACAAAGGGGCAAAAGATGGAATGTCGCCTATTGCACCATCCATCACATCCTCTGCCGCTTCAGATGACTCCTTTGGGTTTCTGGATCGGAGAGACTCCACATCCTCCACCGCATCGACTGCAGCGTCTTCCATGACTTCTGTTGTACAAGACAGCCCCCGCCCTAAACATCGCAAGACGCTTTCCAATGGATCTTTTACTCGCCGACTGCTCCAGAAACGTAAACCTCGACGGGAAAGTGCGCCCCTACCCACATCATCTCCTATCATAGCCCCAGCACCTTGCATGCCGGCACCTGTTGAGATCCCTCCGCCCCCACCTCCAACAGAAGTGAAAACCTCCGATCTTGTTGTTCAATGCCGAAGCCGAACGTACAACTGCGACCGGGAAATCATGTGCTACCACTCAAGATGGTTTGCTAGAGTGTGTGCCATTGTCATGTCTCCAGTACGCTGACCCATGCTTCTACTAAGATTTTGCTGACACCAGCAGAAATCATCAAGAGGCGCAATTGATTTAAGCGCAGATGACCCCCTTGCAGTTGCAGCAATGATGCAATACTGCTATCAACTAGACTACGACCAACTGTCCATATCGGACGACGAAGCACCCGAGCCTGCTACTCTGCGCTCACACGTCAATGTGTACATGCTAGCAGAGCGGTACGGGGTTGCTGGATTGAAAGCAATTGCTATGGAAAAGTTCAAAGATCTCGCCACTATAGTGCTGAATGAGGACGGTCAAGAAGACCAGCTGCAGTCTGCAATTCGCGCTATTTTCGCCCCGGATCGGATCGCAAACGGGGATGAGCTGAGAACTGTCATGGTGAAGCTGTGTGCAGATCATGTGCAAGCGTTCATCCACGACACGGGTAAGAAAATGGCTCTCGTGTACGAGTCGATGGAAGAGTTTCCAGAGTTCAGAGCAGAGCTTTTTGAAGAGATGGGAGCTCGTTGGAGGGTTTGAGAAAATGGGCATCCGCTGTTGTGCTGCAAGCGATCGTTTGGTCCCTGAGAATCATGGCAACCTCACCTTCACCAGGCTGCTCATACTTGGCGAGCTTGTCATTTCACTATGCGCAGTCAGATTGCTCCGTTCGCGTTTGTTTCGCGTTCACGTTTGATCAACACTTGCAACCCATCGGCGAAGAACAGCGACTCTCCCACACTTTCTACAGTACACTTTGCACTGTAGCCCGCCATAATGGACCAGAGAGGAAGTAAGCGCGTCTACAGCAGCGCTTTTCAGCATTCCAACGACCAATATCGTAAAGCATTGCGTAGCGTCGCTGGCTCTTCTGCTACTTCTCGATCTTCTTACATACCTGCAGCCTTGTTTGGCACCGACAAAGAAAACAGTACTCCGTTTCTTGACACCGAAGCGGATGCGGGATTTCTGCACAGTTCTCAGAATCATATACAACTACCGCTGGGCTCTTACTCCTTCGAATGTCAGCCATGCCTTCCATGCATCTCTCAGGTATTGGAGGAAAGTGGACAAGGCATAACCCTTCAGGAACCAGGGCAGCTTCAAATGGACTCGTCTCCTCTCGACTTCCGCTTGGACCTCAACTCCAGTTCTCCTCTTGATGAAATCGCGGGCTTTGGCGCTTACACTGGACCACCTATCTTTGAAGATACAAACACGGCATTTGTCCAACCTGGTCAGGATGGCGGATTTACTTCGACTGCCCTGCACCTTCAGGACCTCTCACTGTACGACAGTCCAGAAACAATGTTTCCAGATCATTTCGAGTGGCCCATTGCTGCAGCCCGTACAAGCATTTCTACAGTCACATCAGAGTCCCTACAGTAGTAAGCAACCTCTCCCCTCCACCTTTACCCACATGTGCGTATCCTAACTCCAGCACAGCGCATTCCCCACCCTCCAACCCAACGACGTCCTCATCATCTTCGACAAAGGCCACAAGGTCCTGAAACTCGACAAGTACCTCCTCATGCTCTCATCCCGCTTTTTCGCCTCCATACTCACCGGCACATATGCCCCTGGCCACACTCGCTGTCTCCGTCTGCGCAACGACTTCCCCGGTGCCATAGCAGTCATGATCCATTTCCTGGAATACGGCATGTACGCACTCGATCCTGCAACGCGCACCCAGTACCCCAACTTGACGCTCTTTGATCTACATATCCATGCTTACGTTGTGGGTGCCAAGTACGACGTGCGCAGGCTGTGCGATTATGCTATTGACCAATATGTCGATATCGCACGCAGGATTCTGGGCACGAGCGGTGCATATGTCCACCAGATCACTGGCTTGGTGTCTCCGGGTGTCAATTCCTTTCTCGATTCACTCGTGCTTATCTGGCGGAATACGCTGTATAGCGAGGATGTGTTGCGTCAGGCGGCGCTAGAGCTAGTCAAGGCAAAGATACATAGGCTGCTCCGGGTCAGGTTCTTCCAGACCCTGCTGTGGGAATTGGGGGGATTTGGGGATGATGTTGTGGCTAGCTTGCAGGAGGATGGGTTCGATGTCAAGGTGTTGCCTCTCAGGGCTGGAATGCAGGAGAAGGCAGGTGTTAGTTTTGGTCGTGCATAAGTGTGTGGATCGGCGGGTGGTCTGTCTGCTTAGGGTGGTGGATATTATGGATGTTTGCTAGGCGTTGTTCAAAGTACTTATGGACGATGGGGATGACACGGTAGTCTGTCTTTTGTAATAGTTTCATAGTCTACTAGGATAACATGGATGGAAAAACAATGCCACTTTGCCCATGTCGTGCACCGTCGGACAATAGGAGACCCGACACGAAGTTGTGGCTTGTGCTTTGGGACTTTGTGGTTGCTTGATCTACACAATACAATGGACTAGTCACGTGTAGTGGTTGTCAGAGGACGCGTGTTTATACATGCACGACGGAGATGGAGAGGTTCATAAGTATTCATAACATGCATCGTCTATGTATGTGGTATGTATGACTCCCGTGCGCGTCCATGCTGTCGTCGCCTTACGGCTAGGCACAGAATCGTGACACGAGGGCCAATTTACTCTTCGCAATCCGAGTGGAGTTCGATCGTCCATGGGAGAGCAGGACGAGACCTCAAAGAAGATGGCATGTCTGCAGTCGAACCGTGGATGGGGTTCTTTAGACTTTAATAAACTTGGTATGGGAGCCCGTGGCAACAACTGGGCCAGGCTTGCCGTCAACTAGCTTCCAGATGGTCACGCTGGTAAAGGCAAGGGTGCCGCCGACTTTGCTAGCCCTGCCCTCAATTTCTATAGTATCGCCATCCTTTGCTCCACTAAGATACGAAACGTGGATGTCAGTACTGACGCCGGTCTTTGAGCGGTTGTCCCAGCACGCGATTGCCAATCCTCCAAAAGCATCTACGATGGTAGCTGACACTGAACCGTGTATACTGCCATGGGTATTGACGTGGTTGCTGGTCAAGGGCAGCCGTGCACGCACGACACCCTTAGCCGCATAAGTCAGTTTGAGATCAGAAAGAAGAAACTGGTAGATCGGGCTGCTTGGCTTGCGGTCCTCCCAGAACTTGTCGACATGAGCAAGAGCTTCGGGGTCGTTGGGAGCGTCGCTAGACATGGCAGAGGATGGCGGGAAGGGAGCGCAAGATTTTCTGGGTGAGGCGGGGCAGGCCGGGGATTAAAATATGTTCGGATGGAATGAAGCTGGGGGAGATTTGGATGGAGGCCCGGGGCCGGGCCGGCGTTACTTTTTTGCGACCTCTACTGGTACGAGTGAAACGGCCAGGCGAGCCCCATGAGCGGTTCGGGGCCGCCACATACAAAGCATATCCAGTCTGCCGCGCTGGACTATGCTTCACGGCAGGCCTGGACACTTCCCACTACTGCAAAGCCCAATGTTCCCACCATGACCATGCCCGACACCGTTGACACTCCTGCTCCCCCGAACCCGCCCCAAACCGAGCCCGCAATCGAGCATGCCCATGCCACTGACTCGCCGCTGGACGGCACCGCTGCAACACCAGAGACGCCCGAGGCCGTAGTCGCGGCCTCTTTCTCCAAGGCAGAGCCCCAGGCAGAAGCCAGCATCGACCTCAAGGCTCTCACCGACCGCGCCTTACACTTCTTGGCAACGGCGAGCAACGAGACGCTGGGCGCTTGTCTCGCTGGCCTGGGCGCTGGCACCTATCTCATCCTTGGACGCGTCGGCCTGGTGCTCATAGGCGTCGTGGGCGGCGTGGTCCTACATGCAACATGGGAGGGCTACCACAACGACAGCCAGGGCGGACAGGGAAAGAGTGCCGAAGCCAGGAGACGCGAGCTGGGCGCCGACATAGCACAGCGCGTCCTCGATTGGCGAAACTCCCACTCTCTTCACGACACGGCCGAAAAGCATGATAGCTACGACCTCAATGTGCAGCTGTACTCGGGCAAGAAGCTCGACTACTCCGACTTCAGGCCGGAGACGGCGGCTGCGCTGACGGAGCTGACGGATGCAGTCATTCGTGACTATGTCAAGTATGTCCTCTGCGCAGTCTTTAGTAGATACAATTCTAATACACTGCAGGTGGTGGTACTCGCCCCTACTGCCCACCGAAGAATCCTTTCCCAACTCGTGCCGCCAGACCTTGACCGCTTTTGTGCTCTCCGTGTCCGCACATGTCTCCCGTAAGAGACCAGCAGACAACTTTGTTGACTTTGTGACGCGCTCCTCGTCCTTTATCATCATCCTGCTTCAAGAGATTGTCACCGCCATACAGGCGTCCCCCGGCGATTTTCCAACAGAGGCAGTTGATCTATACCTCAAGATGAAGCGGGACAGCACGCTGGCCAACATACTCGATCCAGACTACCAGATGAAGCAGTTCAGCGTAGCTGCAGAGGACATACTCCAGAACTATTTGGACCCAAAGACATACAATTGCGCGCCAGCACGCATTTTCTTGCATCAGATACTTGCCAAGCTTGTCCTGGAAATGATTGTCGTGAGCTGTTCCAAGCCCGAATGGATCAATGGATGGATTGTCCAACTCTTGGAAGCAGGTGAACCTGAACTTTTGAATGCCATCGATGCAGGCGTTGAGGGCTCATTTGGACAATTGTCAAATGCCACAGTGGACGCAGAAAGAACACCACATAGCCGAGACATGTCTTTCGCTGAAAAGAAGGAGCATAAACGTGTCGTGAGCAAGGCTCAGGAAGCCATGGATGATGCCATGCGGGAAGCTCAGCGTTTGAGCCAGATGATTGCTGAGGAGGACGCAAAACGCCTCCAAGAACAGTACAGGCAAAGCGCATCCACTTCGACGCTGAATGATGATCAGTCCGAGAGCACCACTCAGGGCATCGTCACCCCGTCGTCCTCAGGCAGCGATACACATCATGACTTTGAGCCGAACGACTTGGGTATCTCAGGTCTTTCTAGCCCATCATCACCTCCACCGAAATTGGCCGAGGAGCGTGCGAAAGAAGAGGAGGCGAAGCAGGCATTTACCAGCTTTGATCAGCTCGTGCTACCCCAGCCACCAACCGCATTGATGGACAATCCTCCACCTGCTGAAAGGCCGCCACCTTTGACACTGCACAACAGTATAATGTCAATCTTTGATGACAGTATGCCTGGTGAAAAGGGTAACATCAAGAGCAAGCCAACTGCTGAATACTTGATCCAAATCGAGCCAAAGTCCAACCACCACACAGGATGGATGACAGCACGCAAGTACAGCGAATTTGAGACTCTGCATGAAGTTATGCGTCGCATAGCAGCCATTACCGGAGCGACTGGGTTCAGTGAAGCACACCCCTCATTGCCAACCTGGAAAGGTCACACCAAGGCATCTCTTCGCGGAGAGCTTGAACGCTACCTCAACCACGCTGTGCAATACCAATCGCTTGCCGAAAGTGAGGGCATGAAACGCTTTTTGGACAAAGAACTCGGTTCTGGAAAGTCTCCTGGCGGCGGCTTCCCCGGAATGAACTGGGCAGGTCAGACTTTCGACACGGTAGGCAAAGGTATGCTAGGTGTACTAACAAAAGCACCTAAGGAGGTCGCTGGCGGTGGCAAAGCGCTTTTCGGTGGAGTCAGCGGAGTCCTGAACAGTGTGACGGCACCATTGTCAGGAAAGAAGAACCGTGATTCGGTCATCAACGCTACCAGCACTCCGACTGCTTCTGCAAGCCCTGCTCTCAGCCGCACTTCAACTTCAACAGCGCCCACCCAGACTCGAGATAGGGCACAATCAACAGTTTCTGAGCTGCCTACACATATCCGTTCAGAGAGTACCCTATCTCTAGTAGCAACAAAGCGCACATCGATGGATTCAGTGCGGGATCCAAATTCTCCTGTCATCGATCAACAACCAACACGAGAAGCTCCCATGGAACGACGACCTTCGACCAATCCCGAAGGTGACGGCAAACGCTCCGGTAGATCGTCGAGATACGGCTCAAGAACCAACAGTCGTGCTCCAAGTACCCATGGCAAGATTGAAGACCTCAGCCCCATGATGGGTGGTGACCAAATCTTAAACCTCCCGCCCATGCCCAGCGAGATACCAGACGATTACATGTCGCGTGATCCCCCAGAGCCCTCACACAGCCAGAAGCCATCACGAACGTCCATAGACTCTACACCTTCTCTACCCCGCCGCACCTCCACAACATCCATCACCCCATCATCACCCTCGAAATCCGCACTCAGGAGGACCCGCACAGAGCCAACCTACACACCCCTTTCCGAAACCGAAACAACCGTCGTGATCGAGCTCTTCTTCGCAGTCATCCAGGAACTCTACACCCTCTCCTCCGCCTGGACCCTCCGCCGCACCCTCCTCAACGCCGCAAAAACCTACCTCCTCCGCCCTTCGAACCCACAACTCTCCTCCATCACTTCCCTCCTTCAAACCACCATCCTCGACGACAACACTTCCGACACCGGTATTGCGTACCATATCCGCAAGATTCGCGAGAATGGGCTCCCCACAGAGGACGAGCTCAAGACGTGGCCTGAACCCATGTCTGAGGATGAAAAAGAGAAGCTCAGGGTTAAAGCGAGGAAATTGCTCGTCGAGAGGGGTATGCCACAGGCGCTGACGAGCGTTATGGGGCAGGCGGCGAGTGGCGAGGCACTAGGCAAGGTGTTTGACTGTTTGCAGGATCAAAGAGTCGCAAGGGGTGTCATGTTTGGCCTAGTGCTGCAGGGGTTGAGGGCTGTGACGCAGTAAAAAGAAGAGATGAACTTGTTGTGTGTGTGTGAGAGAGATTAAGGGAAGGAAAATGGTTGGTATGAAAACCTGTTATGATTGGCCTAGAGAGCCTTACCAATTTCTTTTTACATGGCGTTCGTAATAAGACGATGTGGGAGAAGAAAACAGTACACGTTCCCCTTGGATCTGTTTTGAGTTTTTTTTAATTTCTTATAAGCGGATAAAGAAGTACACGTTTAATATTACAAAGTTTCAATGACTATGTTTTGTATCACAATAAAAAGGAGGGGGACATAAGTTTGGGAATTTCAGATCCATTCATTATAATACTCGTAAAGTGAGTCCCTATTCGATTGATACTTTGCGCCACTCCAAACAAGACAAACAAACCGGTAATCAACAACTTGCTGTATCATACAAGAAGGAAACAAAACAAAAAGAGACTGTGAGTCCCGTCCATCTGCCAAAGTCATAACGCCCATTAGCAAAAATCAGTCGTACCAATACACATACATCACTCATGTCCAGTAATCATCAAGCAGTCCCATACCACCCATTCCTTCGTGTACAAAACCTCCATGTCCCATCATCCCACATCGACATAACCAAGGAGAGTCCAGCCCGTCCAAGAGCGTATCCAAACAAGTGCTGCGCGTTGCTAACATCACAAGCTTCGCCGTCGTCAAGCTCGACGCATATTGCTAGCGATGCCAACTCTTAAACCCCCAAACAGAGGCGAGTCAAAGCTTCAAAATGAGAAAGACACGGAGCGAGACGGTGGGCCAAAGACTGTTTGCAGCAACAGCGCCCACATGTGAAGATACTCACTTAGGCAACGACACTCGTTTCGCCAACGACACTCTCACCAACGACACTTTCGCCGATGACACTTGCTTCCTCCTCGGCTGCACGGCGGAAGTAGTCAGCGTCGTGCTCGGGCTCGTTCTCAAGGGCAGCAGTAGCCAAATCAGTACCAACGCCAGAGTCGCTAGGAGGAGCGTAGTTCTCCTTCATCTCCGCCTTGACGGCATCAACGGCTCGAACAATCTCCGACTGTGTTGGCAGGTCGACCTCGCTGTCGGCAGTGGCGGTTGTGATCACGGAGGAGTTGACTTCGGATGGGTCAAGGGTAGCGGTCGGTTCATTGTCCTCTTCATCCGAATAATGCGAACCTTCGGAACCTTCAGGATCTTCGTTGATTAGTTCTTGACCACGAGCGGTAGAGTGAGTAGAACGGGCACCATAAGAGGTGCGACGGTCTTGGTCAATATCACTACCCGTCATGTAGGAAGTTCCGGAAGCATAGGTGTACTCGCTACCTGTGCCGCCGAAGCTTGAACGTCCATCATAGCCAGGCGTCTCACCTTCGGCGTAGCTCTCAGGGTAGTCATCGACGCTATAGCGGCGTTCAGTA